TTTATTTATTTATAGTTTTATTGCTAATGAAACATATTTCTATGTATTTTATATACATTTTGTGTTCTGTCATTCTATTCTATTAAAAAAAACCCTATTTAGTTTCATATTCTTTCCTGTTATACCAGAAAACTGATCTCATCTAGGATGAATCTGTGTGTAGATTGCTGACTTCATTGTTCTTAGTGTATAAAGTGCTAAAGATACATTAATTACTACAATAGTGCTTGTTGTTGTTGTTATTGTTCTTTGTTTATTCGAGAGAGGGTTTCTCTATAGCTTTGGCACCTGTCCTGGAACTAGCTCTTGTAGACCAGGCTGGCCTCAAACTCACAGAGATCCACCTGCCTCTGCTTCCCAGAGTGCCGGGATTAAAGGCGGTGCCACAACCACCCAGATGTTGTTATTATTTTGTCTCCTCATAGTAACTATTTTATCCTAAGTTGATTTTACTCTACTCAATTAATTGTGTTTTTATCATTGCTTTTTTTCATAAGATTCATTCAAAAATTGAGATGGGCATGATGGCAGATATCTTTAGTCCCAGCACTCAGGGCAGAGGCAAGCAGATCTCTGAGTTCGAGTCCAGGACAGTCAGAACTAGGCAGAGAAACCCTGCCTCAAAAAATTATAATCTGGCAGTTTCATACATTTTCCTAATGACTGTCTATCATTTTCACCCAATACTCCTGTCTCTTGTCCCCTTCCTTCTTCCTCTGAAGCCTTTCCTCTCCCAAGTCCCTACTCTTGTGCCTTCTTTGCGTGACTCACTCATTTTAGAGTGTCTTGCCACATAAGAGTGGGGGATTATTTCCTGAAGCAAGACCACCTTACCAGAGGCTATACCACTGAGGAAAACAGCACCCTTCCCAGGGCAGCCATTAAATGCCATTTGAGGTTTAGTTTAAGATAATTTCTGTTCTGACTGTTTGTTTGTTTCATGCTTCTGCTCATTGCAATTTACTTATTCCATCTGGTTGTCAAGTCCAGAACTGAGTTTACAATGTACTTGAGTATTTGCTCATAGTTGTGACCAATGGGCTTATGAAGCACGAAGGCTTTCGATTGCAAGGGTGGTTTGTCTCAGTTATTCCCAAGTTCTCTTGCCTCTGACTTGTTCTCATCTTCCTGAGGGCCCCAGGCAGGAAGTCATCTGGTATATGATAATGAGTATTAAACACAGATGCTGGAGGTCTTTCCACATCAAGTCTCCAAGTCTCTGTCCCAGGTTAAGACAGTGGGGTGCAAAGCAGAAAGCTGGAGGCTCCTGGTGGACTGGTCACTGGTGAACTGCTCACTAGAGATTAGGATTAAATAACTTTGGAACCCAAATCAGAAAAAGCATTAATGGTTTGTAATATTTTTGCTACATACTGTAGAAGATTATAAATTTGTAAAGTTTTTTTTAGAAGGAAGAGAATAAGTGAACAATATGTATGCAGCCTATATAGTTAGAGTTAGAAGTATGTGAAAACACTGTTCATCCAAATAGATAAGGCTAAGAGCTGTTAAGACATGATGCTATTGTGTAAGTTAGGAACATAGCACTAGAGACAGAACAATGAAAAACCACCACTGTAGTTCACACAAGGCAGGCATTTTGTGTCACAGAAAACTAGATGTGTGCAGCTCAGGGTTTCTAAAGTGGTAGGTTTGGGTGTCAGACTGCCTGGAGATAGAATTGTGTGTGATATCTAATATCAGTTTTCAACTTGATGAAATTTATAATCAGCTATCAGGCAGATCTCTGGACTGACCTGTGCGTGAGATGATCTTTATTAGGTTAATTGACGTGGGAAGGCCCAGTCACTGTGAGTGGCACAAATTCCTGGGTAAGGAGCCTGGACAGTATAAAAGGAGAGAGTGAGATGGCATAAACATTTATTACTCTCTTCTTGACTATGAATGCAATTTGTCCAGATGCCTCCAGCTCCTGCTTCTTCAATTTCCCAAATTTGGTGAGTTTTACCTTCCAACCGTGAGCCAGAATAAACATTTTCTCCTTTATATTGCTTTTGCCTGGGTATTTTTTTTTTTTAATCACAGCAACAGGAAAAAACAACCAAGACACTTATTGGTCCTTTTGTAAAAAAAATATGATTGAAATATTGATCCTAGCATTCAGTTATCTATCACACCATTCTTGTTTTCTCATGTCAAAAGCTACTGACATGTGTGGGTATCATAGTGGAATGCTGTCATATGCTTTTCTTCTTTTCTTTGTTGCATTTCGCATATCTGCTGGTCCGTATCGTCCCTCTGCTCTGTAGTTTTCCTCATTTGCCCACTGTTTTAGTCTTTTTCTTTTATGTGGGTTGTTCTTCACTTGTTTTTTTTTTTTTGATGATTATCCTACTTTAATAAATTTCTACCAGATAAACAAAAACATTATTTTTGAATACACACGAGATCACTAATGTTTCTTATATTTTCTTCTATTAAGTATTTTAACTTTAACATTGTTAAATTGTGTTGACAAAACAGCAAATGTTCACTTGGGTTTTTGTTCAGTAAGAAAGCCAACCACAGTAACAAATATACTGATGTGACAACAGCCCCAGTATTAGCCACAGGAGAAGAGATTGTTCACTTAACCTATGCCCCTTTGAATTTTAGAAATAGTTAGGAAAAATGTAGTATATATTGCTTTTGTTTTATTTTCCTTTAAGGATTAAGAGTATCACTATTTAACTTATGAAATGAGGAAAGAATGAAGAAGGGAATAAGGAGTAGAATAAGAATAAAGAAATGGTAGTGGCAATTTCATTTGTATTTTAATAAATAAATCTTGCCTGAAGATCAGAGAGTAAAACAGCCCCACTGGTCAGCCTTACAGACAAAGCAGTGGTAACACACACCTTTAATCTTAGTAGCCACACTAATTTGCCGTAGTAACCGGGCAGTGAATGCCTTTAATCCCAGTGGTGCACACCTTTGATCCCAGCCCTAGAGAGAAATATAAGATGGGAGGAGACAGTTCACAGTTTCATTCTGAGATTCCTGGAGGACTGAGGGCAAGGTAAGACTCAGTGACTGGCTGTTTTGCTTTTCTGACCTTCAAGTTCAACCCCAATTTCTCTCTCGGAGATTTTATTAATCATACTTCAAAAACTATATGGGTTAGAGGTATGAAAGGCAATTTAGGTAGGGGTATTGAGAATGCTCGAGTTCAGATTCTTTTCCAATACTTCTGCTGCTACCTCCTCAGTCTGGTGTAGCTTGGGGTGTATTGTTCATATCTTTGTGCTGTGCCATTTTCCACATTTTGCCATGGCTTTCCCAAAATTTCATGTATTCTTTGCTAGGTAAGGCCATATTATAGCTGGAGGGAAAAAACATTGCAGATTTCTCAATTGTAGGGTCCCTTACTCTTCATGGTGGACTGGGTTTAGCCGCTGTAGAGCTCTAGCCACTTCCACATAGTATCATGGCCAGTCTCATTCTCAGGGTAATGACAGGGAAGGAAGATTATGGGTGTTAGAAATATTTCAATTTCAGATCCTTCTACCCGTTTTCTGGAAGGTGTCATACATTTGTTGTTCCTGTGGAGTTGAGCCCATTTGGGATGCTAGCAGTATGATGCTGCTTTGCATGGGCCATATTTTTATAACTCAATCACTCCTTTCTTTTTTCTTTCTGTTTTATTTCCTCCCATTTTCCTTCTTTCCTTTATCTCTCCTTCATTTCTTTTTCTCTTTCTGTTTCTATTGTTGTGAAGAGACACCATGACCATGGCAACTTTTGTAAGAAAAACATTTAACTGTGGCTGGTTTACAATTTCAGAGCTTTAGTTCAGTATCATCTTTGTGGGACAGGGCAGTGTGTGAGCAGACATGGTGCTGAAGAAGGAACTGAGAGTTCTACATCTTGATCTTCAGACACCAGACGTATAGACTTCTGGGAATGATTTATGCATACATGAAACCTCAAAGCTCGCCTCCACAGTGACACGCTTTCTCCAACAAAATCACACCTACTCCAACAAGTCTACACCTCCTACTAGTGCCATTCTCTATGGGCTAAGTATCCAAACATGAGTCTTTGTGTGGGGGGGCATGCCTATTGAAACCTCCACACTTTCCTTCCCTTTTTCTTCTCTTTTCTTCTTTTTTCAATCTCTTTCTTTCTTTCCTTGTCCCTTTCCTCCTATCCTTCTGTCTTGTTCCCTCCCTCCCTTTCCCTTCTCCTTCTCTCTCCCTCTTGTTTCAATGCTATCTTCACTAACCTAGAACTCACCATATAGCATAGGCTGGACTTGTGGCAATCCTCCTGCCTCCAACTTCCAAATGCTGGGATTATAGACATGAGCTACTATATCTAGTTTACTATAGTTTTTTTTTTCTAAAGTATGTGTTATATAGCATCTAAAAATGTGAAGAAAGGGTTCCAGAGATAGTTCAGTGGATAATGGTGCATCCTGCCAACCCTGCTGTCTTAATTTCAGTTCTGGGACTCACAGGGTAGAAATGTTCTCTGAAGTTTACACAAGCACTGTGGGGTACACACACACACACACACACACACACACACACACACACCACACCCTAAATGAAAAACAAAGTCATCAAGGAAATAAAAAGAAAGCTACCTGAAGCTATAGACTATTGAAATTCTTTTGTAAACTAATTAAAATAACATTTTAATAAGAATTTTATTATGTGAAAGTATATTTATTATGCTCAACTTGTTTGACACCACCCTTTCAACAGTCAAAATAAAAACCAGTATTTCAATGTCCACCCATCAAACCACTGTTAATTACATTAACTAGGACATCAAAGTGAAAGGGGAAACTATCCTAATTTTGTTATTGTTCCTCTATGGATTTTTCTATTATTTAGAGGAATTAATATTCCATATTAAGAATTTTATATAGAATCTTTGAATTATGACATGAATATACTTTTTTACACTGTTGATTATACTTTTAAGTAATAGAAAGTCTGAGTTTTCCAAATTTAACTGCCATTAATCAATATTGAAACGGCAATATTACTTACTGTAGTTTCTTCTTGGCAGTAGTTACACCAGATCACAGGGAAGTTTCTCTTCGAGGACATAAGACACTTTTCATAAATCATAGCACTCACACGTCTGTATTCTGTAAGAAAATATAGGGTTATGAATCTGAAGACTCTATTAACACCAAACCTGGTGATTGGCAAATTTTGTGATATCATTACCTACACATTAGAGTTTGAATAGAAGTAATATAACACATCTTAAAATAAACATTTTTTTATTTTCTTGTCTTCTATAAATAGCCTATTTAGTGTAGACCTCAGACCACTGTCTTTAACTCATTTTGATATTTTGGTTATATAGCTATTGATTTTGCTGCATCTAGGATTTGTACTATATGCCGATATTGTTTTCTGGGGCTATTTTAAAAAACTGAGCTCAAGTATGCAAATAGTAACGAGTAGTGAGCATAGTATGAAGATCTTGTCCTGTTCCACTCTTCATTATTGAGAAAGTGTGTGCTTCTGTGTATTGGCAGAATAGTCCCCCCAAAATTAACTACTTTGAATAGCTCTTTAAGCAATTTTATTTTTTATTTACTCCTATTAATGGACTCTGCTTGAAGCATGTAATGCTCAAATTCTTCAACAAAATTTTAATGTAATTAATTATCAGCAAACATTACAATTTAGTAAATCACTTCTAATTGCATTTTGAGAAATATACAAAGAAGTAAAAATATGTATTTTCCCCCTTTAGCCTTTGCGATTTTTATTCTTTTTCCTTACTTTCAGATCATATTTCCTGAGGTATTTTAAAAAAATTATTGGAACAGTACATGTGACAATATTTTTCAAAGTGATTTTTGTTTCCTTGGTTTCCAGAAAATTATTAATTATTTCACTATGGCTGTAAGTGATCATATTATATTTATTCATTTTGGAGGGAACCAAGAATCTCTAGGTACTGCTTCCCATTCTCAAGTTATTTATATAGAAAGAATACAATTATATTCAGTATTACATGAGAGAATAGACATGATTATCTACTATATTCATAATTATGAAATCATTAGTGAACATGTCAGGCATTTTCAATTATGTGCCATTCAGCAAAGAAAGTAATAACGTTGAAAAAGAAAGTTGTGTCTATAAAATTCTCTCTAATGGATGATATAATATGGTTTTATATGTTACTTTCAGCCAAGTTTTATAATAAAAATATTTTGATACTATTAAATGTTTCTTTAATAAATATTTGAATAGTAATTGTCTTGTATTTGATGAATACATTATGGTAAAACTTCTGTTAATTTTCAGGCAATATCATGTATGAAAAGCTGTGATAATGATAAATTTATATTTAAACACATTTCTGCTTTTTTGGTGGTGTGTATGTAAGGGTTCAAGAAAGGGTTTCTCTGTGTATCTTTGACCGTCCTGGAACTCAGACCAGGCTGGTCTTGCACTCACAGAGATCCACCTGCCTCTTCCTCCCAAGTTCTGGGACTAAAGGTGTGTGCTACCACCACCTGGCTTATTCATGTATATTAATGGAGTAAGTATTTGGAACTTTGAAATCATTACCTGCATTAGCAGCAGCATCTCCAAATGAAGAACCGAAGGCTAACTCTAACATCTGACAAACCCAACTGAAAAAAATAAGGGGAGAGGGGAGAAGGCATCAGCTAATGGAATAGTCAATATTATATATGATATGATATTTACAAAAGGTAAGAATTGCTGTTATTTTCATTGAAACATATTAAAATTCAAAAGGATAAAGCTTTCACATCAAAAGTCAATGGTGTCTATAAATATTACCCATTAGGAAGAAGTTTTTTTTTTTAATTTAGTCCCAACTAGAATTAAAACAAAGATCATAATTTGAGGCAAGCATAAAAATCGCAGAAGAAGCATTTCTCATTATGACATAAAAGAAAACTGTATCACTGAAGGTTTCAAACCTTCTAAATTATATCATCAATAAGAAAATAAATTGCTCATGCGAATAATAATATTTATGGCCAAATTCTCTAGATGAATTAGAAGTGGCATGATGCTGTATGAAAATATGTAACTAAGTCACAATTTCTTATTCCTAATATACATGACTCATAGTATTAAAGTCATGATAAATACTAGTAACCTAAAAGTATGTAATGACTTGTTAGACAGTATCTGAGCAATGTTTACAAAGCAAAAGTTTTGTCTCTGGATGTCTAAAATAACAATATTACTCTTTCTACTAATTTAAATATCATTTTAACTTTTTCTAATTGATTTCAGTGAAATTCAGGAAATTGTATGTGAGCACCAACAGATAAAGAAGTAACCAATTTGGCCTTGGCCAGCAAGTGGCCCTGATTCAGTACCAGGAGATCCATCCAGAGGGGTAAGTGTGTGCCAGCCTGGCCAGCCGGATGCCCCGGGAACTGAGTACAGGAGCCCTCCAATCCCCTAAACCTTCTGGCCCTTCAGCGGGGCTTTTCCCTGGCTACTGGCTTTCTCTAGTTATGCCATCTCAGCTCCCCCTCCCTAAGCACTCCTTTCCATCTGCGGGGTCATTAGATCCACCACCACAGCCTACTTCAGGGAGGAGAGGATCTGAGAGACAACTCTAGTGCTGAGGGGACCTAAGTACACAGTTAGCCACAGCAAAGATTGCACCAAGCAGTCGAGATTTTCCTGATCGCATTTGAAGGAAGAGATAGGCAGGCACCAATGCAAAAATTCCTCCAATAACCTGAAAAACAACATGATAACACCAGAATCCAGCGATCTTGCAACAGGAAGACTTGAAAACCATAATCCAGAAGAAGAAAAAGAAATCAACTTTAAACATAACATTATGAAAGTGATAGAGACCATTAAACAAGACACGAAAGACTCCTTTAAAGAAATGGATGAGAAGACTAACAAAAAGTTAGAAGAAATGAATAAATCCCTCAAAGATACCCAAGAAAATCAAGAAAAAGCAATCAAACAGGTAATGGAAACAGTTCAAGAATTGAAAACTGAAATGGAGGCAATGAAGAAAACACAAACTGAGAGATGGCAGGACATGGAAAATCTGGGTAAACAAACAGAACTACAGAGACAAGTATAACCAACAGAATATAAGAGATAGAGGAAAGAATCTCAGATGCTAAAGATACTATAGAGGAAATAAATTCACTGATCAAAGAAAACAGCAAATCCAACAAATTCTTAACACAAAACATCCAGGAAATCTGGGACACCATGAAAAGTCCAAATCTAAGAATAATAGCGGTTAAAGAAGGAGAAGAATTAAAGCTCAAAGGCCCAGAAAATATATTCAACAAAATTATAGAAGAAAACTTTCCAAACCTAAAGAAGGATATTCCTGTGAAGGTACAAGAAGCATAAAGGGCATCAAATAGACTGGATCAAAAAAATTATCCCCTCGCCATAGCCATATAATAATCAAAACACAAAACATACAGAATAAAGAACGAATATTAGGAGCTGCTAAGGAAAAAGGTCAAGTAACATATAAAGGTAAACCTATCAAATTACACCTGACTTCTCTATGGAAACCATGAAAGCCAGAAGGTCCTGGATAGATGTACTGCAAAAACTAAGAGACCATGGATGCAAGCCCAGACTACTATACCCAGCCAAGCTTTCCTTCACCATAGATGGAGAAAACAAAATATTCCAGGATAAAAAGAAAATTAAACAATATGTAGCCACAAACCCAGCCTTACAGAAAGTACTAGAAGGAAAACCACAACTAAAGGAAGTCAACAACACCCATAATAATAACACAGACATCTAACAAAACTCCACCAGCAAAACTCAAAGAAGGGAAAGACACAACCTCTACCACCAAAAAAAAAAAAAAAATAACCAGAGTTAACAACCACTAGTCATTAATATCACTTAATATCAATGGACTCAATTCACCTATAAAAAGGTGCAGGTTAACAGAATGGATATGAAAATAGGATCCAACATTCTGCTGTTTACAAGAAACACACCTCAACCACAAAGACAGACATTATCTCAGAGTAAAGGGTTGGGAAAATGTTTTTAAATCAAAAGGACCTAAGGAACAAGCGGGTGTGGCTATACTAATTTCTAACAAAACTGACTTCAAACTAAAATCAATCAGAAGAGATGGAGATGGACACTTTATACTCATAACAGGAACAATTCATTAGGATGAAGTCTCAATCCTTAATATGCCCCTAATATAAAAGCACCCACATATGTAAAAAAATTACTAGAACTCAAAGCATACATAAAACCCCACACACTAATAGTAGGAGACTTCAACACTCTTCTCTCACCAATGGACAGGTCAAACAGACAGAAACCTAACAGAGAAATAAGAGAACTAATGGAGGTAATGAATCAAATGGACTTAACAGACATCTATAGAACATTCCATCCAAATAGAAAAGAATATACTTTCTTCTCAGCATCTCATGGAATCCTCACTAATATTGATCACATACTTGGTAAAAAGGCAAACATCCACAGATACAAAAAAAAATATAGTAACCACCTGTGTCTTATCAGATCGCCATGGGATAAAGTTAAAATTTAAGAACAATTCTACCCCCAAAAAGCCTACAAACTCATGGAAACTGAACAGTCAACTACTGAAACACCCCTGGGTCAGGGAAGAAATAAAGAAACAAATTAAAGTCTTCCTTGAATTCAATGAAAATGAAGACACTACATACCCAAACCTATAGGACACTATGAAAGCAGTGCTAAGAGTAAAGTTCATAGCTCTAAGTGCCCACATTAAAAAAAATGGAGAAAGTTCACATAGGAGAATTAACAGCAGAGCTGAAAGCTCTAAAAAAAAAAAGAAGCAGACCCACCCAGGAGGACTAGAAGACTGGAAATAATCAAACTGAGGGCTGAAATCAACAAAATAGAAACACAGAAAACAATCCAAAGAATCAATGAAACAAAGATCTGGTTATTTGACAAGATTGACAGACCCCTATCCAAACTAATCAAAAGGCAGAGAGAGAACATGCAAATTAACAAGATCAGAAATGAAAAGGGGACACAACAACAGACACTGAGGTAATTCAGAGAATCATTAGCTCTTACTACAAAAGCTTGTATGCCACAAAGTTGGAAAATGTAAAATGAAATGGACATTTTTTTTTAGATAAGTACCATATACCAAAATTTAATCAAGATCAGGTGAACAATTTAAATAGACCTATAAGCCGTGAGGATATAGAAGCTGTCATAAAAAAAAAAAAAACAACTCCCAACAAAAAATATCCCAGGACCAGATGGTTTTAATGCAGAACTCTACCAGAACTTCCAAGAAGAGCTGATACTTATTCTCCTTAAGGTGTTTCACATAATAGAAACAGTAGAGTCATTGCCAAACTCTTTTTATGTAGCTACAGTTACCCTGATACCAAAACCACACAAAGATTCAACCAAGAAAGAGAATTACAGACCAATCTCACTCATGAACATCAATGTAAAAATTCTCAACAAAATACTGGCAAAGTGAATCCAAGATCACATCAAAAAATCATCCATTATGATCAAGTAGGCTTCATCCCAGAGATGCAGGGCTGGTTTAACATACGAAAATCTATCAAAGTAATTCATCATATTAATAAACTGCAAGAAAAACATATGATCATTTCATTAGATGCTGAAAAAGCATTTGACAAAATACAACACCCCTTTATGATAAAGGTCTTGGAGAGACTAGGGATATAAGGATCATATCTAAATATAATAAAAGCAATATACAGCAAGCCAATATCTAACATCAAATTAAATGGAGAGAAACTCAAAGCCATCCCACTAAAATCAGGAACAAGACAAAGCTGTCCACTTTCACCATATCTCTTCATCATATTGCTTGAAGTTCTAGCAATAGCAATAAGACAACATAAGGAGATCAATGGGATTGAAATTGGAAACGAAGAAGTCAATCTTTCGTTATTTGCAGATGATATGATAGTGTATATCAGTGAACCCAAATACTCTATCAAAAAACTTCTAAGCCAATAGATACCTTTAGTGATATGGCCGGATCAATCCAAAAAAATCAGTAGCCCTCCTATACACAAAGGATAAAAAGCAGAGAGGGAAAACAGAGAAACTTCACAATTTATGATAGCCACAAATAGCATAAAGTATCTTGGGGTAACAGTAACCATGGAAGTGAAAGATCTATTTGACAAGAACTTTAAGGATTTGAAGAAAGAAATTTAAGAGGACACCAGAAAATGGAAGGATCTCCCATGTTCTTGGATGGGTAGGATCGATATAGTAAAAATGGCAATTCTACCAAAGGCAATGTATAATTTCAATGCAATCCCCAACAAAATTCTTCACAGACCTTGAGAAAACAATAATCTACTTTATATGGAAAAACATAAAACCTAGGATAGCCAAAACAATCCTATACAATAAAGGAACTTTCGGAGGCATTAACATTCCTGACTTCAAACTGTATTACAGAGCTACAGCAATGAAAACAGCTTGATATTGGAATAAAAACAGACATGTCGAACAATGGAATTGAATCGAAGACCTGGATATTAATCCACAAACCTGTGAACACCTGATTGTCGACAAAGGAGCTAAAATTATACAATGGAAGAAAGAAAACATCTTCAACAAATGGTGC